GCCACGGCTGAATTAAGCGAGTCCTCAACGCAGAGAAAGGAGCTCCTGAGGTCTTTCTGGGCACTGAAGCTGAGGTTCTGACCCAGTCCCCGCGGGAATGCCATCGACTCACAGCCCCCAGGATTAGGGAAGCGCTTCCGGCTGACACACAACCTCACCCAAATCCTAGTCCCCTGTAACCCCACCTCTCCTTTAGGCGGCGCCCGAGGCCGCAGCCTCCGAGTTCAGCGCACGGCATTGCGGGATTGTAGTTTCCGTAAGCAAACGCCCAAGGGGCTTGCGCACTACAGAGGCGCGCGCCGCCAGACCCCCATCAGGATTCCGGGTCCTTGTGAAGGGCGGTCCAGGCGACAGCGTTCCAACCGAATACGCCTCTATAGTCGGCCGGGGATAAGCCGGGTGGGGGTAAGAATCTGTTCTGCGTGGGCTGTCACGGTGCCCTGGAAAGCTGCCGGAATAATCTCGCCCCCGCTCCGGAAGTGAGCAGCTTCTGGCGCGGTGCATTGTGGGGGGCGTAGTCCTCCTTCCCAGGCGGTCCTTCGCGGCGTCCCCGGGGCCGACTCCGGAGCGCAGGCGGGCGGCCGGGCGGGCGGCGCAGCGCGGGCCGGCGGGAAGCGTATTCTGGGCACGGGGCGCCGGGCCGGGCGGCCGCGCCGGGCGGCAGTAGTGGGAGGCCGCCTAAGGCCCCGCGCGGCGCCGCCCGTCGAGGGGCGGGCGGCGGCAGACCAACCGGGCCGTCGAAGGGCTCAGGAGGCCGGTGGGCCGGGCCGAGGCGGGCCGCGCGGCGCAGCCATGCCAGGCTTTACGTGCTGCGTGCCGGGCTGCTACAATAACTCGCACCGGGACAAGGCGCTGCACTTCTACACGTTTCCCAAGGACGCTGAACTGCGGCGCCTGTGGCTCAAGAACGTGTCCCGTGCTGGCGTCAGTGGGTGCTTCTCCACCTTCCAGCCCACCACGGGCCATCGCCTCTGCAGCGTCCACTTCCAGGGCGGCCGCAAGACCTACACGGTGCGCGTCCCCACCATCTTCCCGCTGCGCGGCGTCAATGAGCGCAAAGTAGCACGCAGACCCGCGGGGGCCGCAGCCGCCCGCCGCAGGCAGCAGCAGCAGCAGCAGCAGCAGCAGCAGCAGCAGCAGCAGCAGCAGCAGCAACAACAACAGCAGCAGCAGCAGCAGCAGCAACAACAGCAACAACAACCGCAACAGCAGCAGCAGCAGCAGCAGCAGCAGCAGCAGCCGTCAGCCTCCACTGCCCAGGCCTCCCAGCTGCAGCCGAACCTGGTGTCTGCCTCTGCTGCTGTGCTCCTCACCCTTCAGGCCGCTGTAGACAGCAGCCAGGCCCCGGGGTCCGTGCCCCCAGCGCCCACCACTCCCACCGGCGAAGACGTGAAACCCATCGACCTAACCGTGCAAGTGGAGTTTGCCGCTGCAGAGGGCGCAGCCGCCGCAGCCGCCGCGTCGGAGCTAGAGGCTGCTACGGCAGGGCTGGAGGCCGCAGAGTGCCCTATGGGTCCCCAGTTGGTGGTGGTGGGGGAAGAGGGCTTCCCTGATACTGGCTCCGACCACTCATACTCCTTATCGTCAGGCACCACGGAGGAGGAGCTCCTGCGCAAGCTTAACGAGCAGCGGGACATCCTGGCGCTGATGGAGGTGAAGATGAAGGAGATGAAAGGCAGCATCCGCCACCTGCGTCTCACCGAGGCCAAGCTACGAGAAGAACTCCGCGAGAAGGATCGGCTGCTGGCCATGGCTGTCATCCGAAAGAAGCATGGAATGTGAATGGGTCCCCCTCGGCTTGCTGGACTCCTGGACCCCTCTCAGCCTACAGGGACCTTAGGCCGCTGCTGTTGAACTCCCCTATACTCCTGGGGCACTGGTTGACAGTACTGAAGCTTAGGGCAGCTGGACTCTCTTGCTGGTGACCTGGCACCCTGTCTTGTTTTCTCCTGAAGCAAGGTCCTGAAGTCTGGGACCTCAGACTCTGTACAGGTGACACCAGCAATTATGACTTTGTCCCCCACCTCCCCCCCAGTTTATGTTGCAGGTTCTGGTTAAGCAGAAGCTTCAGAACCACTGAACTTGAAGATTACCCACTCAGGATGCAGGTCGGATGCCCAAGACTATGGGTTTGGGAAGACAACACCTTGAGGTTGGCCAGCATTGAGACAACTCTTCCGTGTGTAGTGATAAGAGATCCAAGTAACATCAGTTCTCCTTTTCGTGCTTTTCCTTCCCAGGTGCAGCCTGTGATTCTGATGGGGACTGGCAGATCTGTGCCTCTGCCTATAAGGACCTCCCTCCCCAGGAGGCCATCTACAAGGGGATCTAGGTGACCTGCTGATGAAGATCCAGCTTGCCAGGGACTTAGGTTTATCCTGTTATGTTTGCTACTGGTTACAAATTCTATTTTCTGTACAATTAGTCAGACTAAAGTTTTCACTGTGTTTGTTTGGCAAAACGAATTAAACAGAAAGTAAGGTTTTAATTTGGGTTTCACCATTTTATTTTTATAAAGATTCAGTATCCCTGAAAGGTGGGGAAATAGACCTCCCAACAGGCCTCTACCTTAGGTCTCAAGGACGAGGCTGATCCTGATAGTAGAAATGCTTCAATGACCATGCTTGTCCAACAAGGGGCCCTGAGCACATGGACCCTGGCCTCATAAGGTTCTCAGAGAGTTCTTGGCCCAGCTCGCTCCAAAGAGTTTAGAAACTGCACCAAATGGTCCCAGTTTGCTGTGGGTTAGGAGAAGGAGCAACTGACAACTAAACCAAATTGTGACTGCTCACTTCTCTTGAGGGTTTTGAATTCCTCATGAATTTTCAGCTGTGGTTGAATTTCACTTACCATTTTAGCCCTAGTACAGTGGCACACATGGGCGTGCAGTTACTTAGTGAAGATCACAGCTGGAACCAGCCATGCTTCCTGCACACATAAGAACTCTTCTATAGATACTTTGGCCTTGGGATGTTATCATTGTGGAGGAGTTGGGATTTGTGACACCTTGACTCATTTCTTGGCTGTTTCTATTCTTCTTTAGATAAAGTAGGGGTGAGGTGACATTTTTATCTATAGGTCCAAATAACTTAGTTCAAAGCCAATGGGCCAAGGCAAGCCTTTAAAGCTAGCCCTATTTACTACAGGTGTTCGGTCACAAATGGACACTTCCTGGGCTCCATAAAACATGACTTCCTTCTCTTACTTTAGAAAAGGCCACTTCCTTGGGGGCTTTCCCTGTATCTGTGAACTGAAATGACAAATGTTTCTCTAGTCTCTGCTCTCCTCATGGCCCTTGGCACTGACTTGAGAAACAAGTCTCTGGTTTAAGAGGGGTGGAGTATAGGTTGTACAGGTGCCTGGTTGGGGAAAGGATTGGATCTCTGCCTTCCTAGCATTAGTTCTGGCTAATCGTAAATAAGGCGGTGGATGCACAGCATTGCCCTTCCAGGCCAGCTGGGACTGAAGCCCTTTGTGGGCAGCTATTAAGCCACTCTCTCACATGTCCCCACTCTCCACTAGGAGTGAGGGCTTTTCCAGGCTTAGTCTATGCTGTTTAGTGTATCCTAGCTCCTGTTTGTTGAAGACACACTGTTTCTGCTTTGGCTCACTTGGACCTCTCAGCAGCCCTCCCAGGACAGGTGAGGGGCAGGCTCTGGCCAAGACTCTGGTGTCTGGGGGTTATGTGCATACAATCTATCTCGAGTTTTAGCTTCTTGGGGGTGGGGGAATGACAGAACAAGGGAGGTCCCAGATGCACCACAAACAGGACAATGCAGAGTTCTCACTGGCTAAGTAATAAGCATCTAGTCAGGCAAGATAGTGCAGACCTGATCTTAACAGCCATCCCCAGCAAGTGAGTGTGTGTGTGTGTGTGTGTGTGTATTGATAAAGGTGCAAAACTTATGGGAGAACAGGAATACTGAGATCTCTGGCTAGGAGGGAAAGCATGGAGCTGCCAGGATGATGTTTCCCTTACCTGTGGTCCACCTGGGTTAGCTGCAGAGCATTTCCCCAACAGGCCTGACTTAGACACAGGCCTTATTTCAAATGTTTGCATTGCCCAGGAAACGATGAGAATGGGTGATGAAAGGGCAAGGGGTGGGACAGATTATTGACAATCTGGTCGCTTAAATCACAGGGAAAGTTTGGGTGAACCAGTTCGCTTTTCTCGTTAATAAAAATGAAACTCTTAGCTGCCCTGCCTGCTGCAAAAATAAAAACAAACGAAAAACTTATGAGAATGTTTTGGAGACCCCCAACTGTACAAGTGTAAGGGTAATCATGTCTCCAGCTGAGCCCCACTTGAGCATTTGAGTCTCCAGCCCAAAGGAAAGCCTCGACTGCTCGAAACCAGCTTTGGGTCGGGCAGGGCACATGAATATTGGGACAGCACACACCATGGGTTCCGCCCTGGCTGGCTTTAGAGCACCGCTCAGAAGAGTCGAAGGGCGGGGGTGGGGGTGGGGGTGGGGGTGGCTAGAGCACCAAAGGGGAGGAGAGTTCGGGAGCGGAAACAGCCCAGGGGCCCCGGGAGGGGCGTCTGGGCCTGCTTGGGGCCAGGCCGGACTCCCACGGAGGCGGGGCCTGCTCCAAACCACCGCGCAACCTGGGCGGGGCCGGACCAGCTGGGACCTGGCGACAACTGAGCCTTGACCCTTGCCTGGCGCCAGCCTCGGGTGTTCCAGAGGCTTCCACTAGACCACAATTCTCAGGGGCTCGCCCTGGTAGCCTCCCTCCCCTGCTTAGCCTCACCTCCCGCGCTGCGGGCCGTGGCCGGCCTCGGCGCATAGCACACTGGGAACTGTAGTTTTCTCCTGGCACATCTATGCCAGAAAGGAGCTCCGGGGGACTGCGTTTCCCAGAGTGCAACGGGGTGGCGAGGGAAGGCAGGGGGGAAGGGACAGTCGGTCGCAGACCGCGCTGGGTTGCCGCCGCCGCCGCTGCCGCCATCGTGCCAGCCCCTCGGGTGAGTGTCGGGGCTAGCGCGCCGGGGCGGGGGCTGGGCCGCTGGAGCCGCACTCTGGGCCGCCTGGAGCCTCCGCTGCCAGTCTCCGGGCGCCCCCGCAACACCGGCGGCCCGAAGCCGCGCGGGGACGGGGCCATGTGTCGCGCGCGGCTCCGCCTCCCGCCGGTCCTCTGAGGCGGCGGCCGGGGGGAACACAGAGAGACAGCCAGGCGCCTATCCGGCTATCGTGTCCATGGCGGGTGCACCGGACTGCGCGGCGGCCGGGCCTTTTTTTTCTCTGGTCCAGACCACCCGGATGGGGCTCTCCGGGCCCCGCCCCGTCTGGCCTAGCCCGGCCTGCCCGAGTCCCGCAAGCTCTGCAGGCAGGCTAGCGGGACGACCCCAGCCCCACGTCCTGCCACCCGCCAGCGAAGGATCCGGGGATGGGCAAGGCCACCCGGCTCGCTCCGGAGTCAGCATTGGGTAAGGGCGCTTTCCTGCCGCAGCCCGGGATTAGGACTCTCACCCGGTTCCCGACCATAGCCAGGCTAGGATGTAGGTGAACTCTCCCCTGCTTGTCTACCCGTTGGGAGTGCACAAAACCTAACTCCCACTCTGGAATTAATGCGTAGGTTCCTGCGTGGAGGGCAGGTCAGGGAATCTGGGGCGGGAGGGGGTTCCACATGGGACTTCACCCCCCGCCAGCCTTGGAGGATAAGGCCTGATGTGATGAGCGGCTCCGGACTGGTAGGCTCAGACCCCGCCCTTCTATCGGGGAACCAGGCCCCAGCGGTGGGTGGGTTGGGCGGCCGAGTTAGTGGAGGAGGGGAGGAAGGAAGCCAAGGAGGTGAGGTTGGATGTGTGAGCCCCCAACACGTTATTAGAACTCCGGCGCAGCCTAATCCTCACATCTGCCCTTCCCAGAGTCATCCGCCCTCCTCCCACAGAGGAGAATGATTCCAGGAGAATGGTGGTGATAAGGTGAGGTTTAGTGGAGGGGAAAGTAGAATCCAGGCCTGAGGACCATGAGCCCAGTGCCAAACGACAGACTGGATTTGAAGTCACATTGGTGGTGGGGCACATTTGGGCTGTGGGGCTCAGATTCAGACTCTTTGGGGCCCTTCTGAAGCCTGGGTGAGAGAGCTAAAGCTGAAAGCTGCAGACAGTCAAGACTTCTCTCACTTGCTTGCTCACTTCCGGAGTAACCTGTACAGGTTGGAGTAACCTGTGTACAGGCAAGATGCTGGTTGAGCCTTGGAAAACTGCCTTCAATGATGGCTCCAGCTACCCCTTTGAGTCCTGGGAGAGGAGGAGTATCTAGCCTTAGAGTAGTCTTCTGAGGGGCTTTGTAAAGGCATTTCTCATTGATTGATGATGTATTAAGGGACCAGTCCAGAGAGAACCTTGGGATTTGGGGAAGAAACAGCTTGTTGATTCCTTGATTCCTCTGACCCAGTACAGCTTCGGAGCCATAGTTCTTGCAAGGATTAAAGCAGCAGCTAAGTCTCTGCAGGCCTGGCCTCAGCAGCAAGCAAGTCTCCTAGGAAAGTTGAGTTAGGCCCATGATGCCAAAAGCCGCCACCCCTGGACTTTTTTTTTCCTTGAGTATTTCCCCAGGTGATGTTTTTCTGGTCATTGGAAGTTTTCCTTTTCCTGCTCTGTCTAGTCATTCTGTCTGATTGAGGAGGGCAGGCAAAGATCTGTCCAGATCTCCTAACCAGCACTTCCCTTCTCTCTGAACTCAAACCTCCTTGTCCACATCCTGGCCCGTAAGCACGTGGAAGTCAGGTTCATTCAGCAGGCTTAGAAGGGTCTGGTTTGCTGGTGGAGATAGGCAACAAGGAGGGACTGCCCACAGGACATACATAGGATCCCTGTGATGGAATCTCCTAGTGCTAGAAGCAGTTGTTTCAAGACCCTCTCTATATTGTCAGGATTGGTTCTGTCTAGGACACAGGTTTCAGTTGAGCTAGGCTTATATCTGTGGATTAGTTTGCACATTCCAAGGCTTTAGGTGACTTGATGATCATGGTTTCCTTCAAGGTCAAAAAGATACTGTTCCTTTTTGATACTGTTCCTTCACCACTGGCAGCGGTGTCAGGAGTAGGAGGAATTTTGGTCTCTCCCTCTCACTCCACCCCTAGAAGTTTTCTAGAACTTCTGTGTCTGGGCTTAGCTAGTCATTGATAGGCATCCTGACCCCCAGAAGTCCTTGACCTTTCTGGAACTTGGCAGGCCATCTGTATCTCAGAGATAAGAGGAGAATCCTGAGGTTCTTCAGAATCTGTCTGCACCTTCTATTCATGTAGGGCTGACTTGGAAGTGGGGTCTGGCATGGGACAGTCGAAATGTGGCTGCATAAGCATGGCAGGGTGTGGGGGTGCCTGGGTTCTCAAAAAGCTCAACACTAGGTCCTTTACTGACATGGAGTGTATTTCTCTCCAAGCTACATCTCACTTTATTCTGCTGTCTTAGCAGTTGGTGGGTTGGGGTGGCATGAATGGTTTAAGAATGACACAGAATTCTCAAATTTAAGAACTGGAAGGCACGGGGCTCCTGGGTGGCTCAGTCATTAAGTATCTGTCTTCGGCTCAGGTCATGATCCCAGGGTCCTGGGATCGAGCCCCGCATCGGGCTCTCTGCTCGTCGGGAAGCCTGCTTCTTCCTCTCCCACTCCCCCTGCTTGTGTTCCCTCTCTCACTGTATTTCTCTCTGTCAAATAAATAAATAAAATCTTAAAAAAAAAAAAAAAAGAACTGGAAGGCACTTGTATAAAAAGTATTCTAGGATTCCCTTACTGGGGCATTAATATCTTGCTTGGATTTTTTTTTTTTCTTTTCCTTTTTCACCAGTGATTAGTATTATTCAGCAACCATTCTTTGGCCCTTTTTGTGTGTTAGGCTCTGGGCCGAGGCTGAAGGTAGAAGAATGAATCCTACCCAGTCCTGGCGCTGGGGAAAGGAGTAATGTTGTTATTATGTACTTAGGGCTGAGTTGAAGGGACCTAAAGGGGCTCTTGGCCCTGTGCAGAAGAGGGGGCTTTGCAATGATTAGAACACTGAAGAAGAAAGATTGTTAGTGAGCCTTTTAAAATCTTTTAAAAAAAGAAAAAAGGAAGTTGAGCAGAATTTCTAATGGGTTGGGGTTGAGTTGAACCTCATCATAGAGGATTTTTGCTTTTTCAATTTTTTTTTAGTTTAATTTTTTCTTTTTTTTTTTTTAAAGATTTTGTTTTGTTTTTATTTTTAAGATTTTATTTATTTATTTATTTGACAGAAAGAGAGAGAACAAGCAGGGGGAGCAGTGGAGGGAGAGGGAGAAGCAGGCTTCCCACTGAGCAGAGAGCCCCATGCGGGGCTCGATCCCAGGACCCTGAGATCATGACCTGAGCCGAAGACTGACACTTAACCGACTGAGCCACCTAGGCACCCCTAAAGGAATTCTTATATGTTAAAGTAGACTTACAGGATCCTGGGGGTTGGGCTAAGGTCGCCTTTTACCCTTTTATGTTGCTGGTACCTATGTGCCAGCTCCCTAAGCCCCAAGACTAGAGAGGGGCCTACCCCGGAGGAGGAGAACCTCCCCCTCAAGAGGCGGATGTATTTGACTTGCCGGGGAACTCAGGGCTGCTTGCTTCAGTAAACTGGGGAAATTACGGAATGATTGTTTTTCAAAGCCTCTCATACTTCATCAGAGCCACTGGGTCTCACCAGGGCAGAGACTGCTGCCCCCTGGAGTGATGTCTGTGTATAGAGACATTGGTTCCACTGGCAGAGGTGATTTCAGACCTAGGCAAATGCAAGTTCTCACTAGTCTCTATGGTATAGTCCTGCTTTGACCAGACGAGCATGCACTCAGGGGCTTTCTGTACTGAGAGGCATAGAACTTGCTGATTTCAGAGGGTAATAAAAGGCCTAGCCTCCATTCCTCACCATCTCATTTGTTACCGCTACACTTTCTGCTACTTGACATTGGCTCTCAGCTGTTCCAGTCCAGGCCATTTTAGTGGACATTTTAATGCTGGCTATGCCAGTGGCCTTGTGTCATCTTGAATTCTTTCTTTTTTTTTTAAAGATTTTATTTATTTATTTGACAGAGAGAGAGACAGCAAGAGAGGGAACACAAGCAGAGAAGTGGGAGAGGGAGAAGCAGGCTTCCCGCTGAGCAGGGAGCCCGATGCGGGGCTCGATCCCAGGATCCTGGGATCATGACCTGAGCCGAAGGCAGACGCTTAACAACTGAGCCACCCAGGCGCCCATCTTGAATTCTTTCTTAACCTCTTGGAATTTTGGTTTCCTCATCTAGAAAATGATGATAATCATACTAGCTTTACAGCTGTGAGGCTCAAATGAGAGAGCACATGTAACTGTTTGGCTTACAGAGAAGGCCAGTTCAGCACCCTGGGGACTCCATGTTCATCCCTTCATTCCTCTGCTCACCTCAGTCTTGGAGTGTCATGACAGTATTCGCCAGGCATGGTTGTAGCAGACCATGGGGGTGGTCACTTAGGGGCTTCAGGCCCAACTGGGGAGCCAAGTCCATATATACCTGATCAGCAATTTCATAACCTGGGGTTCAGTTCATGGATGGGAGCTGTCTAGGACAGGGGCCCCAGAGATCTCTGAGTGACGTGGGAAAGGGAGGCTACTCATGGACTAAGTACAGAGCAGAAAGACCAGAATGCAGGTCTCAAGGTTCAACTTCTGAGCTAGCCAGGGCAGCCCCAAAGCTCTGGATCCCTCCTCCAGACAGAAGAGGAGGAAAAGGCCCTCAGGGTGCTGGGGGCATCTAGGCCTTAGGTCTGCCCCAGGAAAGGGTTCTGTCCCGGCCAGCCATTCAGGCACCAGACCTTGGCTGATTGCTCTCCAGACTTCAGGCAGGAGAGTGATGGACTAGGCTGTTGCCAGTCCTGTGTTGAGGCTGCTCCATGATGTGGTATCCTTGCAGGAGGCTGAGGTAACCACCTTTTTTCTAGTTCTTGACCTGGAGCTTCACTTAGGACCTGACTGACTCCTTGCTGCTGGGTCTTGCTTTATACTCTCAGTTGATTACCCCCAACATCCCCGTAATTACTGGTGAGGAGACAGGGTCAGAGGATCATACAGTGAGGGAGAGGAGGAGTAGGCTAGAGGTCAGACCTTGAGGGTGTGGTTGTGTGCCTGCTGTTGAGCCACAGCTGTCCCTCAGGTGACCAAAGCCTTGAAAATGAGAGAGGGGGTTGGGCCAAGCCCCACTTGCCACACCCTTAGACAGGTGACTGATGACAAAGGGTTGTTTCCTGATGAGTTGGACAGAAGGTGTAGGTGAAGGGGAAGTGGGTCACTTGGCCACTTAAATTCAGCAGGGTTTGTCCAGAATTCAGTCCTCCAAAGAAGAAGGGCTAAGCCAGGCACCATGGGAACAGGGCTGCCTAGGTCGGGGAGACAGATCATAAACAGATATGTTAAATGTGACTATTTCATGCAGTGATAAGTGCTAAGAAAACAAAACAAGATGGTGAAATGAGTAGCTGGGCAGTTATTTTAGACTGAGTGATCAGAGAAGGTGTCTGTGAGGAGGTGACATTTGAGCTGACACATATGTGACAAGGAGCCAGATACATGAAGATCCAGGGAGAATAGTGATCCAGGTAGAAGGATAAACAGTTGCAAAGCCCTTGGGTGAGAAGAGGCTCAGCATGTTCCAGAAACAGGGAAATACCCTGAGTGGCTGTAGAGGAGGGGGGAGAGGGGGTGGCAGGAGATGAGGTTGGACAGCCAGGAGGGCAGGTCACCCGGGGGCCTTGAAGGCCGGCTAAGTAGTTGAGACTGTCTGGAGAATAGAAAGGGAAGTCACTGGGAACATTTGAGGGCCATAGGGCATGTGAGGGTAATGGCCATGGTTGATGCTGATATCAAGGATCCCACTAGAAGCTCAGCAAATCTGCCAGCATTCCCTACAGGCCTTGGTGATGGGTGCTTGAGAAAAGACAAGCGTGGGTCTTTTTGTGTATCTGTCTGGAGTTTGTGACATCTTCTTCCCCATCACTCTCCTGCCCCCATCCCTGCCCCAGGCTTAGCTAGACCAGGATCTATCTCTGATTTGCTGAGATGGTAGAACTGAGCTGTGACTTTGCGGGTTTGGGAAAACTGTGAGATCATCCCCCATGAAAACGCCTATTGTTGGGTTTGGTGTGGAAATCTGCCTGGTCCCTTTGTTTGGAGGCAGAAGCCTTGGTTTAGTTCTGTCTTGCCCCTCTCTGACAGAGTCAAGGTTAGAGGTCAGGGCTTCAGCCTTACTTGCGCAGGAGCACTTCTCTCACTGGTGTCTGCTCATTTTTATGTCTGATCTATTGTCTCTGGGGGGCTTGGCCCTGGAGTCCGCTAAACCTGGTTCCGTCTAGTTCCACCATCCATTAGGCTCATGGCCTTGCGTGAGTGAGCTAACCTTTCTGAGCTTCATTGTGCTGCAGTGTAATGTGGGAGTTGATTCACAGGGTATTAGGAGCAAATGCACATAGAGCTCTTAGCACATTTCTGTGTCTAATACGTACTAGTGAAAATTGACATGTTATCAGCTGGACGCTGCTATTTAAGTTTTGTCACTGGAAACACCCAGAATTTGAGGATAAAAATGAAATTTTTCTGTTGTCTAATGGGGTCTTCTGGGAAAGAAGTTTTAACCTGGGGTCTGTGGCTGAACCTCAGGGAGTGTGAACAACTCGAAATTATTCACAAGGCTGGGGTATCTCTACCTCCGTGCAAATTTATTGGGAGAGGGCCACAGTTTTTGAGACATTCTTAGAGGGTCTTTGCACCCACAGAGACCTAAAGGTCAGTGAAGGCTGATGCTCAGTGGGCGAGAGGTCATCAAGGTCATTTCTGCTCCTCGAGGAGCCTGGCCTCAGTCAGCCTGCGGACTGTTGGGGTGAAGCAGGAGATGGCGTGGTCAGCGGCCCTCTTGGAAGATCTGTAGGAGAAGCCGTCATGAAGGTCAGTCCCCAATCTGATGTGAGGCTGCTTCTGAGCCTTGGCATTTTTCTTTTCAGACTGTTCTTTCTGCAGTATATGTATTAGAAGCAAGGTCAGGGCTTGCTGGCCATCCTGGGGAGCATCCTCCCAGCCTGGCCCAGACCCCTTCCTGTGGTGCGTGGGGATGGGGGGGGTGGCGCTTTGCTCCCTGCTTCTTTTTCTGGATGCAGGAATGCTGCCTCCCAGCCATGAGTTGAAAGCATGTGGGAAATTTGGAGTCAGAAACTGTAAATCCTGTAGTTTGCTGAGCCACACTCTGTGTTGGGGGATTGGGGTCGGGTGGAGTGGGTGTGGCAAGAACCACACTGGAATCCTAGCCCAGAGCTACAGTGTTTAGGCAGAGAAGTAGGCCCTGGCACATGGGGTTGGGGTCAACATTTGAGTCTGGGAAGGAGGACCCAAATAGATGGAGCCTGAACAGTGAATTGAAGGAAGAGCAGGAACTGACCAGGCAAATGAGGGGAGGGAGGACATCCCAGCAAGGGGATTCATGGGGTGGGGGTGGGGCAAAAACCAGTGAGCAAGTGCTCAGCGAGTTCTGGTCTGTTTGTGTGTGGAGCTGGATGAAGGTAGGAGAAAGTGGTAGGGAGATAGGGACAGGTGTGGATGGCCACCTGTGGAGCTTCAGGGTTTAATCCAAAAGTGAGGCTGTTGTAGAGAAGGGACATGGCCAGCTTTGTTGTTTAGAGCTCAGGGACAAAGTTAGCAGGAAGAAAGCACTGACTTCGACCAGGGGACCCAGTATTAGCACTGATGTACTAGATGGCCTTGGGGCAAGACATATTGCTGAACCTCAGTTTTCCCACCTGTAAAGTGGGATGACAGTGGGGTCTGACCACATGGCTGTCATGATTACTACATGCAAATAAACAAAACAGGGTCAGGCAGGCCAGCCAAGTTGGTATTGGCTTCGGGGACCCTACTTGGAAACGGCCTCAAGCCACATAGTTTTGGAGGTTCCTTCTCACACTTTCTGGGAGCCCTGAGCAGTCTCATTCCTTAGGAAAGCTCACTTTGCCCTTCCCCGCCCCACTAGACCAGAGTACCCTTCTGTCCCTTTATCCCTCCACCCTCTATTTCTGCCAAGTAGTTTTCGTATTGGCAAGTTATCACACCTTAAGAACAATATTGAAGAAAGAAAAAACACCCCCACATTTCTTCTGCATCACTGTCCTACCACATGGCACCACTTTTGTCTTTGGATCAGCTTTTATTTAGCCTTTTTTCCTGTCACCCTTCATCTCCAGCTTCCTGGTTTCCTGCCCTTACCTCTTTTCATATGTCCAGACACTTGCTTATGCTTTTTCTTTCAAAAGGCATACTCTTTCTCCAAGACCTTCCCTGAGGGCTGCCCCACCTTGCTGAGGACAGAGGGAGAGATGGCCCTCATCCATTCCTCCAGCTTTCCCTTTGCCCCAGAGCTCTTGGGAGCTGAGTAGGACATCTTGTGGTAAGATATTGTAGGGCTGGGCCACAGTGAGTGAGCCAAACATAGTGAATACTAGGGTGGAAGGGGCCGAGATTTGAGATGGGGAGTGGGTACAGCCACAGCCTGATCCCTTGGAAATGTGACCAAGACAGCAGCTGAGACTAGCTGTTGATCCTATGCTTTTCCCACTTGTTGATTTGTTTCTTGGCAGAGTATAAACTGGAACACACCTTGTGTTCCTGTGTAGCAGGCGTGGCCGGGTCCAGGCTTTCTCTTCTACTTGTTTTAGACTTTATCCTGGACATTTCTTAGTCATCCCAGCACTGAGCTCCTATTTTTAGTGCTACTACCTCCTATGGGACCTAAAATAAAGCTGGCTCATCTTCCTGGCCCCTCATTGGCTGGAGTATTGGTCATAGGCTAAGAGATTGGCTGGATTGGGTAAGCCACTGCCCCCCTACACTATCCATCCCAGCTGGCTCCTCTGGCGTTGGGTGAGGTCATAGGGACTGGAGCAAACTAGCAGGTTCCCTTAGTGAGGCTTCATAACCACTGGCAACATCTGGGTCCCACCCCCTTACAGAGGAGGAAGCTGAGGCCCTTCTTAGGGTAGTGACTTACATCATATTCCACGACAGTTAATCGTTGTCTGCCAGGGTTGACACCTCTTAGGTTCAGAGTCCTGTTATCAGGAGATGGGGAGGTAGTCAGACCCAACTATAGAACAGCATAAAAGTCTGCTGTCATGGGATCCTTCAGTGAGATGTGGGCTTCCGGCGGGGGGGGAGGGGGGGAGGTGCTGGCTAACAGAGCCAGAGTGGCTCTCATCTGGGGCTCTAGTTTGCCAACTAGCACCCTCAGAGCTGTGATGTTTGTAGGTGTGAGGGGGTTTCCCTTCCCCCTCAGCAGAGGGGGGCAATCCCCTTCCAACAGGGGCAGTGCTGGGATGGGGGGTATGGAGAGATGACATATTTCCCCCTCACAGCCTCCATTTCCCCTCCCAACAACCCTCAGTATTACTCTCTGATCTTCTGAACTCATATCTGCAGCTCTGAAAGTGGGTAGGGGTAACCCTGTCAGTGAAGAAATGAAGAGATTTACCAGTGCTCAAAGAAGTAAACTGCTCCCAACACTAAAATGGAGGGTCACTTGCTGTTTTTTTGCAAGTGGGGCATTGAGGAACCATCTCCCCCTCTCTCACTTTGTCTTCCTCCACCTGCCAATACAGCCCTGGGGCAGTGTTGATGGGACTGAGGACTGCAATAGAAGACACTGCACACACAGACATCTGTAGTTTCTGACCTGCAAAGTGGGAAGAATAGTAGTAACTCTGGCCTTGCAGGTTGTTGAGAGGATCAAATGAAAAGATGTGGGAGAGTGGTGCGGTTAGCTCCTCCTTAAAAGCCTCACCCCCCGTTGAGCGTTGAAGGGCTTGCTCTGACTTTCCTTTGTCTTGGCTCTACCCTCAGCTCCCATCCTATGTGCTTCACATCCCTGGCACCCCTTTGTTTCATCATCCATAGCTCCTCAAAGGAGGGGCTGAGTTGGGTCCACCTCTGGGCTCCCTGCACTGGTCTGTGTTGGGAGGGGTCTCCTACCAGTTCCCCAGGGCCTCTGTATGTTCCATGGGAATACAGACCTCAGCAAAGGATTTCCTGCTCAAGGAGGACAGGAGGGGTAGGGGTCAGTGAAGAAACAGCACCTGACTACCTCCTGCTCCCTTGGCACCAACACTTCCCTCTCTGTCTTGCTCATCTTGCAGGTCTCAACGAGGCCGGGTGACGCTCCAGAATGGGAGACAAGCCAATTTGGGAGCAGATTGGATCCAGCTTCATTCAACATTATTATCAGTTATTTGATAACGACAGAACCCAACTAGGCGCAATTTATGTAAGTCTTCAGCTCTAGGGCCTGAATGGGACTCCAGGGGATCAATTCAGATATTGGGCTAGCCTGTCCAGTTCACAAATTCTAGTAGCCCTCACTGGATTTGGCTCTACCCTTCTATCTGAGTTTCGGTCCATGGGACAGGGGGCCTGAAGCATAGCCCAACTACCTGGTCTACACATTCCCTTCTGTCATCTTCCGTAAGAGCAGCGATCCAGATATCCTTGGCAGGGTGTTCTGGGCTTGCCATCCCATGGTCCAGGGAGTGCCTCTGGTTCCAGATTGGGCAGTAGCAGGCAGATGCTAGGGCTCATGGTGCTCTCTGGAGGCAGCAGCTATGAGCATCATCACTGCAAAACTGAGCTCTTCGGGAGGCCCTAAGTCCAGCTTCCTTTTGGGGACCAAAAGGCCCTGAATGCTCATGGTAAATAAATGAGGTTAGCCCAGGGAGGCTGGTGTGTCTTTTTTTTTTTCCTTTTTAAGATTTTATTTATTTACTTGAGAGAGACAGCACGAGTTGAGGGGGGTGCAGAGGGAGAGTGAGAAGCACACTCCTCACTGAGCAGGGAGCCCGACTCGGGGCTTGATCCCAGGACCCCGAGATTGTGACCTGAGCCGAAGGCAGACACTTGACCGACTGAGCCACCCAGGCGCCAGAGGGAGGCTGGTGTGTCTTTTAAGAAACCCTTCTAGGCAGGCATTGTTTGGTGTTATTTTAATGATGATCGTATACACCAAGAACTACTTGGTGTAGTAGTTGCCCCTATCTGTGTCATTTCATATAATCCTCAGCACATGTCCCCTTTAAAGATCAGGAAACGGGCATCAAGCCCCGCATTGGGCTCCCTGCTCGGCGGGGAGCCTGCTTCTCCCTCTCCCACTCCCCCTGCCTGTGTTCCCTCTCTCGCTGTGTCTCTCTCTGTCAAATAAATAAATAAAATCTTAAAAAAAAAAAAAAAAGAAGAAGTGTCTGCCTTCAGTTCAGGTCATGGTCTCAGAGTCCTGGGATCGAGCCCTGCATCAGGCTCCCTGCTCAGCGGGGAGTCTGCTTCTCCCTCTCCCTCTACCAGCGCCCCCCCACGCTTGTGCTCGAGCTCTCTCCCTTTCAAATAAATAAAATCTTCAAAAATAATAAATAAATAAAGGTCAGGAAACAGATTCAGGAAAATAAGTAACTTGCCAAATATTATAGCTGGTAAGCAGCAGAGGCACTTTTGAGTTCTGCCCATGAAAGCTATGGCAGGGGAAATCTGGAGGGCAGGGGAGGAAGCTAGTGGGTTGCATGTTGATGGAAGGGAGGGTCCCAGACTAGGCCTTGGGAGGCCTTGTCATCTTCCATCCTTCCCTGACCCTATGGATGTCCCATGGGAATGGCCTTAGTAGAATTCGGCCTGAGCTCTAGAGATGGTGATGAATATAGGTTGTTTCCAAGTTATTTCTCATGGGCTTTTCTAGGACTGGTGCTGACTGACTACACAGCAGGATGACTTGGCTGAGTCTTGGCCACATATACCCTGCCTGGGGCTCAGGCATATCAGAGGCCATATAACTTCTTGAATAAAAACTGGGAAACAAACTTACTAAATACATTTGTATTTTGTTAGTGTTTCAGAGCCTGGGCTCTGGGAAGATAGAGTATAATTAAAAAGGTTGTTAATAGTGTAAAGTATGGAAGCTACCTTCAGTTCCCTTCTTTACAGATAAGGAAACTGAGGCTTAGACTCATTGTTTCCAAATAAGACCCTGACCCCATGTTTTCTGGTTTTCAGATTGACGCATCATGCCTTACGTGGGAAGGACAGCAGTTCCAGGGGAAAGCTGCCATTGTGGAGAAGTTGTCTGTAAGTAAGAGCCAGGGCCCTGCTGTCAGCAGCTACTTCCCTGCCCTGCTGGCTACAGCATACTACGCACTGTTTCTTTCTTTTTTTTTTTTTTAAGATTTAATTAATTTATTTGACAGAGAGAGACAGTGAGAGAGGGAACACAAGCAGGGGGAGTGGGAGAGGGAGAAGCAGGCTTCCCGCTGAGCAGGGAGCCCGATGCGGGGCTCGATCCCAGGACCCTGGGATCATGACCTGAGCCGAAGGCAGACGCTTAACGGCTGAGCCACCCAGGCGCCCACCACGCACTCTTTCTTTTGCAGAGCCTTCCGTTCCAGAAAATCCAGCACAGCATCACGGCACAGGACCATCAGCCCACGCCAGATAGCTGCATCATCAGCATGGTTGTGGGCCAGCTCAAGGTAACAGTACTGCTGCCTCATAACACTGGTGGTGGTAGGAAGGAGTGGGCAGGCAGAGGAGAGAGCCCTGCGCCCTTGCCTTCTCTGTGATTTGACCTGCTTATCAAGGGACACCCAAAGCATCTAGAGCTGTGTAATTCAATACAATAACCACTAGTCACATTTTTAAATTATATTTTAATTTAATTTAATTTAATTTAATCTTATTTTTTTTAAAGATTTTATTTATTTATTCATGAGAGACAGAGAGAGAGAGAAGCAGGCTCCCAAGGAGCAGGGAGCCCGATGCGGGACTCGATCCCAGGACCCTGGGATCATGACCTGAGCCGAAGGCAGACGCTTAACCATCTGAGCCACCCAGGCGCCCTAAATTATATTTTAATTTTAATGGTGATTTTTAAATTACATTAACATGAAATAAAGTTAAAATGGAGTTTCTCTGTTGAACTAGCCATTTTTTAAGTGCTCATAGTCCTTGTGGCTGCCTATTGGACAGCGCAGACATAGAATTTTTTTTTTTTTTAAGATTATTTATTAGAGGGGCACCTGGGTGGCTCAGTTGTTGGGTGTCTGCTTTTGGCTCGGGTCATGATCCCAGGGTCCTGGGATCAAGCCCCGCATCGGGCTCCCTGCTTCTCCCACTCCCACTCCCTCTGCTTGTGTTCTCTCTCGCTGTGTCTCTCTCTGTCAAATAAATAAATAAATAAAATCTTAAAAAAAAAAAAAAGATTATTTGAGTGTGCGAGTGGGGGGAGGGGCAGAGGAAGGGAGAGAGAGAGAAAAAGAGAAAATCTTCAGAATGCTCCCCACTGAGCGCAGAGCCTGACATGGGCTCGATCTCACGACCCATGAGATCACGACCTGAGCAGAAATCATGAGTCGGACACTTAACCAACTGAGCCACCCAGGTGCCCCCAGACATAGACTATTCCTGTTGTTACAGAAAGTACTATTGGAGAGTACTGGTCTAGAGCCTTTCTGGAAAAGGGACAAGAGGTATAGGAGCAGGGTGGAGCTGTGGTGCCAAGCTACTGGGCCTTTGCACTGCCCTGAGGTGTAAGTGGGCTTTCTGTAGACAGCTGGACCCAGAGGGGCCCGCTGGGTGCTGAGTCGCAGTCACCTGCTGGAGTCCATGCTGCCACTCCCTGAGCTGGCTGCTGGCTCCTCCACCTGCTGAGCAAAGCAGATTCCTGGAACTCCTGCTTCTCTTTGCACTTTCCTTTCTTTTTCTCAAGACCTGTCCTCTTCAAAGCCTTTAGCTCTTCAGTCCCCCAAGAACTCTCCCAGGAACTCGTACCCATTGTGCTCCAGCAGACTGAAGCCAGATTCTTAGTTTCTAAAAAGCCTCTCCTCCTTCCTAAAGCAGGACAAATTGGTTGTCCCTTGACCAGGTCCCAGTCTCCTGGGCTTGTGTCACTGTGGGGCTCTGAAGGTCTGTATGCCTTCTCCCTAGGCTAGGTGGGGCCTTCTGAGTCAAATACAAGGACAGAGAGAGGGAGCCTCTAGGCCTCTGCCATGGACCCATGGACCCAGAGGGACCTACCTTCTGGCCTGCACTTTGCTGTCAGTTTTTCCTGCCTGCCCAACATACCCTGCCCAGAGTTTGTGCTCAAATAGGCCCTTTTGGGTGAAGAGGTCTCTCCAGGGGGCTCAGTGCCCACTTTCCAGGCTAGGGTCAGTATTCCTTGCCCATTCCTATGTGGCTTCAGGTTCATTCTGGTGTTCCTGTCCAACTCAGAACCCCAAAAGACTGATTTGCCTTCTTGCTGATGATAACTCCCAGAAAACCCAGCAGTGTTAGAGACCGAGGTGGTTAACTGGGCTTCTACCCTAACTAGGCTTTATCCTGGTCTTCTGCAGTTTGGCTGAAGGTGTTTTGCCTTTCTTTTCTCGTTGCAATTGTTGTATATATGACATGACAGGAAACATCACCTGGTGGCATTGCTTCGTTTTTGCTCTGTAGAGCTGTGATTACAGTGTGAACTCAGTTTTGAGGATTTTCTCACCTACCTGGTCACAGTTAGTATTAGCTGCAGTTTCTCCTAATTGGACTAACTGGCATAGTAATCAGACAGATGCTAAGACTGTTTAGTTTTTAGGTACTATAAGTTACGTGGTGAGCACTGCAGAAGTCTTTCAAATTGATCACCGTGCCTAGAGACATGAGCTCAGAGCAGGTCCTTTCTCTGCTCTGTTGCAGTAGCTAACTGGTGACTTACTTGGCAGTTTAAGTGCATGCAGCAGTGTGAGCTGCCATCCATAGCCCCTGTGTGCCCAGTATGTTGTATCAATTCACATTCACAAGTATCCCTTGGCTATACTGGAATTTAAGTCCAAGACAGTAGGGTCTGATCCCAAAGTCAGCATTCTTTTGTCCTGTTCCCCTACCACTGAACTACCTTCCTGTTCTTTGGCCCACTAACTGAATCATTTTCTTTCTCCTCACAGGCTGATGAAGACCCCATCATGGGGTTCCACCAGATGTTCCTATTAAAGAACATCAACGATGCTTGGGTTTGCACCAATGACATGTTCAGGCTTGCCCTGCACAACTTTGGCTGACCTCCTCCCAGCCAGGCACTCATGCTGTTTCCTCCTCCCTCCTCTTCCTGATACTATTCACACTCCTCCAGATGCCCCAAATATCATACACAAACGAGCAGGGCCGCGGCGGGAGCGGGCGCAGTGCGCTGCTACCGAGGTATTGTGCATGATGTTTGGACGCTAGACTAGTTGCATCTGACAGGAGAAGTTTGTGTTGTACCAGCGCATGCCTTGGAAAGACTTAAGTAATGCAAAAGGTTGTCTTTTTTTTTTTTTTTTTTTTTTTTTAATCTACTGACAAGTTGCTCTAGTAACCCAAAGAAGTGAAGGAGAAAGCAGCTGCCTCACCGCCCAGATATTGATTTGTTCGGATGTTTCAATGCCTCATGATACAATAAAACCACAAAATTTTCTTAACAGTTTAAATTGTTTTAATTAGTTTAATAGTTGGCTGGGCATCAGTAATCACCCTGCCCCATTGGCTCTCTCATGTCTCACCTTCCCACCTCTACCCCAACTCAGCAATACCTGTTGCAAAGAGAAAACTGCTGAAGCAGCACTCCCAGCTAGCTTCTCTCAGAAGCCCTGTAGGGCATAGTATTCCCCACCTCAGTCCCCCTGGTCTTGGAAAACTGAGCTGCAGGCAGAGCTCAGGTCCGGCCCAAAGCTTCCTTTGCACTGAAGCCTCTGCAGTCAGTTCTGATGACTCCTACATTGGGTAGGATCAGGACTCTGGTAATAGAGATGATCTAGAATCCCACTGAAAGTGACTCATCAGGTTCAGGTGCTCTGGACTGAGGCCTCAGCAAAACTACCCTGTATAAAATGAGCAAAGGTTTGAGGAGAGGGTCCTGTTCTACCCCCCAGAACGGTCAGGATCACATCCAGGGTACCCCACAAACCCCAAGCCAAGCAGAGGGCAACTCAGATTTTGTCCCACCTGCTTTGGATATCATTGCCCGGAGGTGAATGCCCAGAACGCCCAGCCTCCATTGCCCACAGAGCCAGGCCCAGTTGGGTTGGAGTATAGACTTAGAGTTACAAAAGTAGGCAATCGGAGTCTGAGTTTGAGGGATTTGTGCTCTGGGATTTCTCACCCCTCAGACATCTGCAAGGCATCTCTAAGCCTCCTGCTGTTTCCTCACCACACACACACACACCTTCACATTGTTTTCAAGTCCCAGGAAATCTTAACTGTTGGGGCAGTTTCTGCTTCTCACTTTGGGGGAGAGAGGCCTTGCCCATTGCAGAACTAGCCCTTTAGCCCTGAGACCTCTGGTGGTATAAACCTGGTGGCAAGATAGCAACCAGAAGCTAGAACCAAACCCAGGTCTTGGGCTGGTGCCTGTTAGGGGTTTCAGGATTGGTGAGGGCACCACAGTTATGCCTGACCTGCACTCCCCCTTCCTTCCTGCACTATGGATGGAGGAGGCCAAGGACTCCTCAGACCCCCATAAGTTGTCGGGCTACACTGAGCACAGGACTGGATGATGTGCTGTTTTTAGAAGGCCACAAATTCAGGAGATTTCAGTGGGACTGATTTAGGATGCTGTGTGTTTGGGGAGTGGGGGTTGGGAGAGAGGTAGGTGCCTGCTGCCTCTTACACCACCCTGTATAAAATCTGCAATACAGCTTCTTCCATGTACCTGTGCCTGAAATTTCTGCAATAAAGAGGTGTTTGTAAACTCTGGTTTCTTTCTTCCTGCCTGAGGGTGTCAGGCCTGGGTGGGCAGGGGATGCTGGGGGACATTAACAATGTGATGTTCATGGTTTGACCATCTCCCCTTGCAATTCCTCGGCTTATGATTCCCCTGAGACCTTGGGTTGCCCTGCCCCATTTCCCCAAAGGGAAACCTAGGCTCGTACCAATTCAGCTTCTTCCTTGGTAGGGTCTTAGGGACTGTAACCTGGGCGGCTGAGTTGATCCAGTTCCAGGCCCATCATGAGCCCATGTTCTGGGAATGGACATAGACTGGGCAGGAGATCCTGAGCCGAATAGGGGTTTGGGCGGTCCAGTACGTGGACATTTGCTCTACCTCAGCCCTGAGGAACGCCCGTTGACCAAGGGGTCCAGGAGCAGCGAAGCTCCCGCCCCCCCAGCCCGGAACGTTTCTTCTCCACCCCGCGCAGGTTCCGGGAGCCGGCGCTCCGGCGGGCCGGAAGTGGAGGCGGTTGGTGGGGCCGGTGGGGTACACGGACGCGGCGCGGGCGGCGGTTTGCTGGCTGCGGGTGGACGGAGTCGAGTGACCGGTGTCCTGGTGTCTGGTCCCGGCAGGGCTGTGCGCGGCTGCACCGTGCGCGTCGGCAGCGAAACGAACGCGGCGCGGACGAGGCGCCCGCGGCTGGGCCCATGGCCTCCTCCTGCGCGAGCATCGACATCGAGGACGCCACGCAGCACCTGCGGGACATCCTCAAGCTGGACCGGCCCGCGGGGGGTGAGCCGGGACAGCGGGGGTGGGCCTTTGGCGAGCGGGCAGAAGGGCGGCGCGGACCTCAGGGTCCGCAGGTCCCTCAGGACCCATACCGCATCTTCCTGGCTGATGAGGTAAGACGAGGGTTGGAGCAGTAAATTCCTGAGCGTGCCCCACAAGGGTGCAGATCCCTTCTCATCTCGGTGCCGGGCCGTTGTGCCTCGTCCTTCAGCGTCTCTGCTGAAGGTGAGGTTCCTTCTTTCAATCCGCAGGGCCCCCTTCGTGTCCTGGCTCCAAGGTCTGAAGTGTTCCTGGGACTAGCTCAGGTTCCCCATCCTTATGCCATATAGTTCAGAGGCCTGGTCTGGGCCCTGTATGCCGAGTTCTGGGTCTAGACCTAAGCACTGTGCTGAGGAGCCACTGGTCACCCTCTGCAAATTGCCCTTCACTCTGGAATACAGACTCCAGGCCTGCTGTTCTAAAATTGATTTTCAGGAGGCAGGTGACCACCCCCGTTTTATGTCCTTTCTGGGATTAAAGCAAATCACAGACTGCACGGCCCTGATTGGATTAGGCTACAAACATCTGCAAGCACTAGTTTATATTTCCATTCATTTAGACTTTACATGGGCTTGCAGTGATACCTCAGAGCTGCTCCTGCCCTCAAAGAGCCCCCAGGACATAGAGAACTAATGAGGTTGTAATATAATGCTGTTGTCAATGAAAAAAAAAAAAAAAAAAGGAGTAATTTGGTACTGTGATGGAAACAGGGTACTGAGGTTGGGGCTGGAGAGTGCCTGAGAACAGATTTGAGAGAGAAGACAATGTTCAGGCTAGGTGTTAATAATATGAACAGGTGATTTGGTGTCAGGAATGGCACTCTGCAAAGAAGAAATAGCATGTGTGAAGGCACCAGTTTCCTGACAGGTCTGGGGACCTGTGAAAAGTTGTAGTGGTTGAAAGACCAGCTGGTGATGGTGGTGTGGGGTATGCAGTGGCCACAGCTGAGAATTGGTGTTTCTTCAAACCCTGTTCTTAAACTTGCTGGGAGGCCCAAACTAGCTGCTTTTGAAAGCAGGCACTGGTGCTCACACTGGGTGGGTTTAGCTACCCCTTGCCACCTGGGGAAAATCCATCTGCTGCCTGAAACCACTGAGCACTTTGCCCCACACCTGGAGTCTGTGCTCCCTTTACTTGTGAGCTTGGCTTAGACCGCTCATGCTCATCAGCTCTGTGAAGACTAGAATGCTCAAAGGTTTGGTAGAGTCTGGCATGGCCAATATTTTGCAGATTGTTTGTCCTCGTGGTAGCCTGCCTGGGAGGGAGAGTGGCCAGCTTACCCCTGAGCAGCTAAAGTGTCTCTGATCCAAGTGAAGTGGCCTGGAGGTTTTCCACTTAATTCCTTATATGTTGATTGGTACTTAATTGCCTCACTTGCCAAATAGCTCTTTTTTGTCTCCTCTGGAGGCACTGGAGGACCATGTCAGATGCCAAACTATTTTATGACTAGAAACTTGCCATGTTTTTCAGTGTGGAGCACTAGTCTCCTTGTCACCTGGGAGTTTTAGGGTGGTATCCGAGCCTATGAGGGTGCTTGAAATAGCCAACGGCAAGCAACTGAAATGCTGCCTTTCCTGACTACACACCTTATCCTAGAGTTTCTCTCCATTGTCCAGCTCCTTCGTGTCCATTCTTTCTGAGGTTACCTGCCCAAGGTGGCTTCTTCTGAGCCATTTCTTTGAGGGGCTTGTTTCTTTCTTTCTTACTCCTACATCATATCAGTGTACTTTCATGCCTTGGGAGCCCATCTTCCCTTCTCTACCATCTGCCACTGTCTTGGTCTAGGACCTGGTATCTCTTACCTGGATTCTTAACTATTCTACATGCTGCTTTAGAGCAGTCATTCTTCTGGCCATAGCAGACCAGGTCACCTTCCCGTTTAAAACTCTGTGTGGCTCTCAATGCCACAGGGAGAATTTAAGCACCCAAGCTTCATATCTGAGACCTCTGTGGCTTGTCTTTCCTCCATCTTTCCTATGTTTGTGTGTTCCAGCCACACTGGGTCTGATGGACCTCCTTTTATGAAGTCTGTCCTGACCCTTCCCATGCTTTCCCTCAAGTACAGAGTCCCTCTGTGCTAATCTGGGCCTAAATATTAATTGGCTTCACAGGGTTCTTGATGGCTTTACTCCAAAAACATGCATGTCTTTGGTCCTTGCAGACATTGTGTCAACCATCAGTGTTTATGGAACAAAAGATGAACCAAGGGTACTCCTCCCCACTGACATGGCTCCCTGTTTTGTTTTGTTTTTTAAGATTTTATTTATTTATTTGACAGAGAGAGCACAAGCAGGGGGAACCACAGAGGGAGAGGGAGAAGCAGGCTCCCCACTGAGCAGGGGACCCTGGGATCCTGACCTGAGCCAAAGGCAGACGCTTAACTGACTGACCCCCCAGGTGTCCCGAGGACCTCATGGTTCTTAAATGAAGGTCTGCAGGAGGAGAGGCCAGTGGGCAGGTGGAACAACCTCAACAGAGTGGACCTTTCTGTCCCCAGGTCCCAGTGCAGAGAGCCAGCGGCCATCTAATGCCTACAATGGGGATCTTAATGGGCTTCTTGTCCCAGACCCCCTCTGCTCAGGTGATGGTACTTCAGCAAACAAGCCTGGTCTCCGGGCCATGCCACCTATTAACCTTCAGGAAAAGCAGGTCATGTGAGTGTCTGGGAAATGGCAATGGTGGTGTTGGGGTCCTTGGGGTGGTGTACTTAACCACATTATATTTGTACTAGGATGAGGGGCAAGGACAAGCTCAAGAGCTTGGGCTGGATCTGAAGTTTGGGCTTCCATTTTAGCATGGAAATAGGCCCATTACTAAGGAGGGAGGTGAGCAAAGGGAGCTGTGGGTATGGGGACCAGTGGACCAGGCAGAGTTGAGCATCTGGACTTGACACCTTCACCAGAGTGGTTGTATTCTCTCCCCCTTCCAACCCTGCCCATTGAGACTTT